TAGGGTAAATGAACCTTGGTTGACTAAGATTGTTCACGTCAATATGCAGTAAGAGGTATTAACCAAGACTTGCCATTTATTTTTATCGCAAAATGGAGGTGTAAACGCGAAATCATGTGGTGGTGATATCGCGTTCACCCCAAATTTCGCGAAACAATTTTTTTATTATTATAATTGAACTGAAAAAAATCACAGCTGGGCCAGTTTTGGGGGCAACCTTGAAAAGCATCATCAAAGTATATGTGAAATGCTCACTCTTGAAAACTATTGCCATTTATGTAGGACTGGGACGCCTCACTTATTCTTCACACATTCAGAAATGTTAACAATTTTCTATTTTGCTCTGTATTGCATACTCGGCCACGAAACGTCGGACGAATTCAGCACGGCCTGAACATGGACTTGAACTACAGTCTAATAACGAGTCTCAGGTAGGATACAGAACAAAATGAAAATCGGGAAAACATAAACAGATGAAGATGAAATGAATGACAAATCAAAATGACCTTCAGACGTTTCCCGAGCACTACATTCTTCTTAAAATTAGGCCCGGGATATGCAGGTTTGTACCAATAAATTGAAATACTCCTTTAGCGATAGGGGGGGGGGGGGCAGTGCACCCCTCTTTCACATGGAACTATGAGCACATGCGTTTTCGAACATATAGCCCAGGGTTTCAGCCATACCAAGAAAATGATCAAGTATATGACTTCTTTGTTCAAACAAACTCGCCTGTTCAAAGGGAAGTGGTCATTGCATCTCGTCTTGTTGGGACTAATAGCGATTTATACAACTCATGAAAAATACATGTCTTTTTTTTAAACATAAAATTCAAAATTAATGCAGGGGAGTCGTCACCTGCGCATACGTCAGATGGCCATAGCGTGTCATTGTTTACAAACAAGCTTCCACCCATGAGCCTTTGCGTTTTTAGCGTGTGTTATTGTTGCTTGTGACTCAATTCCAGCGCGTGCGCAGGTGACGACCCTCTCGCTTTAAACTTGCTCAACATGCACAAGACACCCATGGACCACATCCTGAAGGCAAGTATCACTGGGAGACAACATTTAGAACGTGTGCATACTCGTGACAAAGCATTTCAATAATAAAATGTATACACAATACATATGTAACCAGATAAAACTTTATTGATATGTATACATTCAAAACAATATGTTTGATGCCTCAACAAACACAGATCACAAGATATACCTTTGCTGCTATTTATTAAAACTAACCAACTTATTAAATGCTAAAAAAAATGTATGTGTAGTTTTAAAATGAACAATAAATATACACTGTAGCTGGTAATTGTTTAGATATTTAGTTAAGCCATCAGATTTAAAAATCTAGCACACTAGAAAGGCTTTTTCCCTGGTTATATCACAAAATATTCAACTTTAAATTACCAATTTTAACCAGGAAGAAAAATATCACAAGTGCCCTCAATCTAGTACAATTAAAATGCCTTTGTTTTTAACAGAGTTGCACTAACACAGGGCATGACCATATAAATGGTGACATTCCTATTGTGCAGTATTTAGTATGCATAAGTTTTATTTATAGTTTAATTGTAAAATAAGTATTCTCTAAATTTACAATACTCCAGGTTTATTGCACTCCTGTGTTGTCGCCTTTATTTTAATAAAATTAAAATAAATTCCACTAAATCAGTATATTTATTACATATACATAATAAATGCCAAAACTGTAGTTTCTCATTACAACTTTAAAAAAAAAGACATGACCTCAATCTACAGAAAACAGTTACTGTAAAATTATTTATTTTCACTGGCATTTAAGTTCATTATTTTGATGTTGAAGCAATTTTGGGTTTTAAAGATCACAAACTTTGCAGAGAAACAATGAGTTCCATGTTCATGTGGATTTAAATTTAGCATATTTTACTTCAACAAAAATAGCAAAATTAAAAACTAGCGAATAATTAATGCATTTACACTATCTGAACTTCTGTTTACTGTAAACAAATTAATTTTGCTATTTTATAATTGACCATATTTACAAGTTCTCAAGTGAATTCTGTTGTAATTGTACATTGTTTGCATGGATATGAATTCAACAGATTTCAGTGATCAGAAAAATAGCGAAATTAAAAACCAATTAATGAGTAAACTATATCAAAACTTCTTACTGTGACCATTCATCCACAGGTTTTATGATCAGTTATCTGAAGTACACATTATACAAACAACTATAGCTTGGCAAGGTTCAGAAAATTGAAATTTGATTCTACATTTAAATGAAGAACTTTATTTATTGAACACTGTACAGGTGGGTTTTCAAATTACTACAACTTTAGTATGCTCATTGAAATAAGCTCAAACTGAAACAAAACACATTATTCAAACATTGCCTCACAGAAGTCTTCTTCAATAGACTCGCTAATTAAAAATCAGTTAACACACAGTTACACCAATAATCCTGTATATAACTTACTTCTGAACAATAGCACCAGACTAAAACTTTACCTTGCCGCAGATAGTGTTTCCTCCCAGTTTGACACATTATAAATTCCTTTAGCATACCAGTTAGTTATTGATACTGAAAAATATTTTCAGTATAAACACTATCTAAAATGTCAATTCAAAGTCAAATAAATTAACTTTAAAACATGCCTTTTTAAAAGTGCAACATTTTATAATGACTGATTATGACAAAATTGTATGAAGTTTAATACACTATTTAGATCTACAAAATAAGTTGTAAAATACGATACAAAATTTTCTTACAGTTGTTTGTGCATGCGCACTGAAGTGTGTCTATGGTCTAAATTAGTCGTATTAAAATGATCCAGTATTTTATATACAACTGTTGGTTTATACACACTTGCATTGGAGATGTGCTTCTAATAGAGCAAATACAGTATGTGCACTTTGAATAGAGCAAATACAACATCTATTTGAATTGCAAAACTTGTGAAAGCAGATTGGTGGTAGGTACAAAGCCTTGCAGCTTCTCTAACAACAACAATCAGCATACAAACCAACAACAGATATCAGTGACTCTGTCCAACCATGTATAGAAAAACAAATGTTATAATGTGACAATCTGGGACATAAATACACGCTTTCATTGGACTATAAAGAATTTAATACTCTTTTAGTTCCTACATTTAAGAACTGAATAATTTAAATAAAGGTAAATAATTGTGGTTGTCGTCAATAAGTAAGAATAATAAAAATTACTACAAACTCTATATAATAATATGAATGAATGAATTAAAGGTAAATAAATAACTTGTTACTTGTAAATTAGGTTAAATATTTTCTTTCTGTAAACTCAGTTTGAAAATAAGTGTTATTCCTGTTACTGAAGACTAGTCATTATTTGATTATAGAAGAAACATTTTGATGGTGGGGTAATAATTCAAAATATTTAGTTTGATTTCATCTGTTTACAGTAGTTCATGGCAATATTCCTATCACTAAACAGAAGATGTCAGTCAGTAGACTAACAACTAAACAGCCAATAGTAACACACATTTCCCATCTTCCTACAAATTTTAAAATGATTAAACATTTATTTAACTAGAAACTATATAAGTGTTCTATTTGTGTGATATTGGTAATCATTGATCCTTTAATAATGAGATAAAGAGTTTTTAAAACGCTAGAAATATAATAACCCTTTTTTGCATATTTAGAAAGTATTTACTAGGTCAAATTGTTTTTTTTTTTAAAGATATTGAGATCACCATTGTTATCATGCAGTGCATGTTTGAATTGTGTGACCCATTTTGTACATGCTATGGAGCATAGCTCAGTCAGAATGATTTCAAAACATGTACAAAAATATAACATTAAAATACCCGACCAGATGTAAAAATCACAGAAGATGAGAACAAATAATTTGTTAAATAAAACTATAGCTATGTACAGAAAAACATATACATATAAACTGTCAATAGACTAAGTGTATTTTAATTGAAAGGTAGAAAATACTAGATACGTTGTACCTAAGTCTTTTAAGCAGGTCTCCTCAAGTCTATTGCATGCACTACCAGTATATATTATTGATTGTGTATTTCTCTAGACAAGCTTATCGCAATTACCAAAATATTTCTAACTTCTCCTAAAAAAAAGATACCATTGTCTATTATTACATTGGGGCAAGCATTATTACAACATAATCAAAACCGATGATTGAAAGTTTGGCAAAGGTACAAATGTAACATTGTATGATGATACACTAAATTCCAAAGATAGAACATTGTACTGATCTCATAGTAGTAAAAAGACGGTTGTGCTTGATATCATTTTGAAAAAAAACACACCCAGAGATACAAACGCACAAAATGTTTGGTTGAATAAGTATCAAATCTTTGCAAAGCAGAATTATAATTTCACTTACTTCACACAGAGATTGATCAAGTGTTTTTTTTCTTCTGATAATCTTGACAATATTATTAAACTAAGGCACTCCTATGAGGTACATTAAGACAATTTTGGAAGAAGCAGAATTCCGAAAAAACAGATTTCCGAATATAGGATAATGTATAGTAATAAAAGACATGTACATGTCAACTAGGCAGAGTTGTCCTCAGGGGGACAGCTGTTACATCAGGCCATGACTGTAAACATCAAGTCTGTATGTCAGATGGATTCATTCTGTTATATAAACTCCCAGCAAAGTACTTCAGATGAACATTATAAAATGGCTTATGAGATCATTGGAATGGTGAAGAAATTGTTAGTTGGAACAGTATAAAAATGGTAACGATTTCATAGACACTATCAAATATATCAGAAACATCAAATTTCAATGATAAGCCATATTTAAACTATTATTTTTTTTTTCTTTTTAATAAAAACAATGCTTGGTTTCACTGCATTATATCCCTTTATGATGCAAACTCTGTAATTTGTGTCGCAAGAAAATTGTACTTTTCATGAACTGAGAAGACCACACAGTTGGTAAAGCTACTATTTTTTGTTTTGTTAAAGAGAATTGTGGTGGTAACAGAAGCAGCAAGGGGATTTCAACATGTGAATTTTATATGAAGCTGTAGTTCGAAAATGGATAGATAATTTATCTTAAATAATATTTTAGATTATGTACAGTATGTATGTGTAGAGAAAAAAATATCCACAGAGGCACAGTTTTTTTTAAATTGAATGACCTTATTATCGGGTAGATTAAATGTTTGAAGCTTTGTGTGGGTAAGCTGGTAGGAATTTTAATGTATAACATTAATAAAAAAAAATGGTTTTCAACCATTTAAAACTAACTTGGCCACTTGTATTTAAAAATACAAGTGCACTGGAGTGAGCAATGGAAGGGTGATGGGCAGTGTGGCTGCAGCGGCATTAGATACACCATGGAGGTATGTTGCATACACTCATGACTGCTGCTATTCATTTTGTTTGAGGAAATAATTAAGAAGCACCTGTGTGAGTAAGACAATACAAAGTAAAAGCCAGTCTTTGCTCCGAAGTCCAAACATGAACTGATTTTCTTCTTGGTGTCTAGCTATTGTCAGTAATTGGTGGCTAATAACTTTCAGTTGATCTGTGCATTGTTGTTGACTCTCGTGTAAAGGCTGTATTGCATTCAGAATATTTGAAGTATTATGAGAGCCTTTGGTGCTGCTTTTGTTACTAGAATGCTCATCTGAAATAAACCACACAGTACATAAATGTTATATAATGCACTATTCTACTTGTTTGAATATTGTATCGCGATAAAAGTTGTATTGCCAGCTAAATGTTACCACTGTGACTGAGTGAACTTAGAACATTAAACATACACACTTCCTAGACTAGTTGTGTTTAGTATGTATCCGAAGCATAATTCAAACTGTAATGCATGGCAAGATTTATTGAAGTGTAGACATAAATAACTTTGCCAATGAACAGAACAATGTATCAGATTTGATTTTTGGTAAAGTTATTCAAAAGTTTTGCTGACAATACAACTTTAACACAACTTGTAGTTTATTTATATAGTGCAGACTTGATAAGCTCTTGCAAGTGAAATTTGAATTTAGTTCCCAAGAGCCGACACAATCTACATGTATATGATTTGGATACGGAACAAGATGGTTGCCTCAAGCAAATAACAGAAATTGCATATTATTCAGAATAATTATTACTCATTATAAGCTCGTTTATGACAATAATTTTAATGCAAGATGAATAGTGAAAGTGGCAGCCAAGGCCATACATAGAGCAAAATACAATAAAAATACAAGTAGCTTGAATTCATTGTATTTTTTCCTGACTAAAGTTTGGTGAAACATTTTGCACATTTTTTTAATATGCATTTTTTGGAATTTCTTTATCAATTTTTTACCAAATAGACATAATTTCACATCTCCTTTGAAAAAATTATGGAAACATTATTATTATGGCTTTTAATTTTGTGAGTGGCAACAACAATTCATGCTCTCAAAGGCCAGCAGCATGGAGTGAGAGATAGTTTTATAATTTCATAATTATACATACCATTATCTGAAGATTCACTGTGGTGATCTGGTGTTGACCCATCACTGTCCCCACTATGAGAATTACTTATTGGACGAAGACTCATAGTGGTTCTTGTGTGCTTGTTGTGTTTTACATGGTCTCTTTTACTTTCACGTCTGCCAAGACGACTACTCGGTGCCAGGCTGATGATACTAGTTGTTCTTACCATAGGTGTTCTGTGTTTAGTTTTTGTTTGTATGATACCGCCATATTCATACTGTTGAATATCGTTCATTGCATCCCATGGTCTGGCACTGAAAACAACAGAAATTATAACAGAAAACAATTGAGACAAGAAATGAAACCACTGGAACCTTTTAATGCCTTTTTATAGTACTGTTAAAAGAAAAGACTCCTGCTCTACAAAATTAATATTACATTAGAAGTTCAAAAAAGCTATGATTGTAAACAAATTGAAAAATGGAGAAGTGGAAAGCACACACTTGCACTGTGAAGTCAGAGAATATTTAGCAACCTTTAAAAATGACTTTCAGAAAGCATTTTCTCATTATTTAGCTAGGTTTTAAATGATTTTTAAATGATTTACTTTTATGACCAACATATGACAAATATAGCTGTCACAAAATGATCTGCACAAATAGACTGATGGACGAGTTTAAATAAATCACTGATAACTCAATTCAGAAATTTTATTTATAATACAGAGAGCCAACTTTATTTAAAGTTGAGGAGTTGAGTTAGAATTGAGGTGTACCAAAAGTACATGGTATAATTCTTCATTAACTGTATTCAGGTTTTAACAAACATTTCAAGTTGAATATGATACTTACTCTGCATGCTTGTACAGCCACTCTCCAGTTATATCATCTTGTTCAAACAACCTTGGCAACCACTCCTGACGTTTTGCTTTCCTCTCATTTTTAGCTTGTCTCTGGGCTTCCTCTAGGATAGTCTTTTCTTTGGTGGCTTCCACTTGGTCTCCTTTATTAATTGCTTCTGTCACATGAATCCACAATCTAACAATAGACACACAAATTAACATGGTTAAACAATTGACTGGCCGAGACCACTTTATAAAATCTTGTAATGGTGCTGAAGGTTCCTATGTTCTTGCTCCAGACCCTACTTAGAATATTTCATTTGTAGTAAAGCATTTTTCAACTGCTCTGAAGATTATAGAATCAGAACATCATTGTCATTGACTTGAATAAACAAAATCGTTCTGACATTTTGACAAAATTATTAAACGTCAACATTTTTACCATTTTTAACCCCATATAATTTTTTCGTATTTTTTAAAGAAGTCTTAGAATACATAGAGTTGGTAACAAAATTGCAGCGCCAGTCAAAACACTTTATTTTTCATCAACATATCAAGTTTGATTGATATCTCAGGCATTACCATTTTTAGACTATACCTTAGACTACAAAAACTAAAAATGCAAGCAGCTAAGAAAGATACAGTACATGTAGTTGTCAGAAATGGACTCTAAAAGGTAATTTTTATTATGATTAAAGTGTATAACGTTAAAGAAAAAGTAATTGGCACACCAACCACATCTACGTAGCCAATGTATAAGAGTAACCCCAGCAAATAGACTGTACAAGCTGCATTCTGCAAATTATTTGCATCTAAATAGTTTTTTGATGAATAGATCTGATGATGATAGACCCACTATAAGTTAGATATGCTATTTACTTATGTGGAGAATTCATGGATAGTCACTGAAACTCTATCTCTCTCAAAACTACTTACAATTTACACAGAAAGGCAGAGATTGAATAATCAGATAAATTTGACCTTGCCAACTAAATTATTAAAAATACGTACTTCTGTGATTCAATTTCTCCCATTTCATCCCAATTTGGGATGTACCGCTTTAGTCTTGATTTCCGAACGTCATCTGTGACATTCCAAAATAATTCAGTTTCCTATCAAAGCAAAAACATATAATTATTTTCATTTTCATAAAACCATGACTTTGCCCTTAGTGCTACAAGCTTAAGTGATCATTAATATACCGGGGTAGCTATATTGGGGATCTTGAGACTATTGAGTGAAATATTCTGATGATCTGGATCTGTGTTCATTGCAGAAAATTGCAGAAAATATGTAATTTTTTTGTTGTAGTTTTTGAATGTGCAAGTATTGTAAATTGTTTTGGTGGCAAACTTGATTGTTTTAGAATTAGGATTGCTAACGCTTTTGAAAAGCATTCCAATACAATATACTACTGTCTTGTAGTAATTCACACCAAACATGAATCATCAAATATTTCCCAAATTCAAACCATCAAATATTTCACATGATAGTTTCAAGACCCCAATAAAGATCTAGGAAAGATCTCAGAATGCTTTTAACAATAACAATGAACCAACGTTTAATATTGAATATGCAATCCAATCACAAAATGGTGTCACAAGAGGTGTGCAAGATTCTTTTAAGTCATGTCTGATTAATTGCACATGCAATGGGCATACATTCACTCATACCACTGTTAGATCTTAAAAAAGTTAGGATACAATAGATTATCATTCACCATGTATGCAGATACAACTTACCCCTGTTCTTTTATCCTTAATGTAAACTTCTCCATCCTAAACACAGATGAAAACATAGGTAAACTATTGTCGTCACAACCAGAAGATTTTACAATGGAAACAAGGACATATGCTTGTAACCGTACTTTCCCTTGCATTACAGGTATTAAAGTACATCTACATAGGAGGCCAGCGATTGTGTTTCACAGATGATGAATATCCTGACATTTTTGTATGTGCTTACAGTGCATATTCTTGGGAGCAAACATCTGGGCATTTTCGCTAACTGACAACAATTCAGTGAAAACAACAGCCGAAAAACTGTACTTTGGGCTAGTTGTTAAGACTCTCTTGAACAATGTAACAAGACTACGAGTCTACCGATGTTTTAATGAAAAAACAATTAAATAATTTCTATTTCAGGAACCGAGTTATGTCACATATTGCATTTAAGCTTTGAAAGCCACCATAATGGCCTCTAAAGTCTTAATGTATGTTTACACTTACCCATTTCCCATCTATTGTCGCTATCGTTTCTTTACCAAGTTTAATCTTCCCAACTATATGGTTCACGTTATCACTACTACCAAGCAGTGGCTGAAAACAAAACAGTACTAGTTGCAATTTATACAAAACAGAGGCATTACTCCAGATAGACATCAAGCAATATATAACACTATTCTAGCAGAAAACTCAAAACAAAATTTGTATTATTTCATCCGGAAGAAAATATGTAAATGAGATGAGAACATTAGTGTTACATGTAGCTGGGAATGATAATTATTTCAAGTAGTTTTACCTTGAGTTTAAATTCCATCTCTGTTCTATATCCTGTTTTCTCACATTCCACACTAACTTTACCACCATATTCCATAGTCAATGTACCGTACAGTATACCTGCAAGAAGAGAGGTTTTACCACACAATCTCACACAGTATTAGATGCTCCATTATTGTCAATAAGACGGATGTCTGTCTTTCTCAACACAAGGTCAGCTATAACAAATTCACTTAAATATGAATTTGCAAAAGTTGTGGTACCCCCTTGGATGATACAGTGAGAGCATGGATTTGAACTTCAGTATTCTAAGAGCACCCAATTTTGAGGTCAAAATTTCTAAAAATGCCAGATTTAATTTGTCAAGCAAATATTTGACTATTTTGAAGAGCATCCAGGAGGAGCTTCTAAGCACCTGCCTACATGAATCTCAATCCAAGCGCGAGTACTGTAGGTGACTATAAATTAACTTGGTTTATAACTACTGACAAGGTAGAGGGTCACATAATGTGAATAGGAAGATCAAGTTAGAGGGGTCACAACATTTGCATATTGTGAATAGGAAGTGAATGTGATTTCCACATGACTGATGGCGGTATTAGGAATCCATGAATCAAGTAAAATATCTGTTTATAAGCCCGATGTGGTTTACAATCTAAACTGACAGTCGTAAAAATTTGTTATTCATTATTTTTTTTATTGGAGGTTTTCAGCTAGTTTCTCCCATAGCTTAGTAGCATTCTCCATTTCCCAGTAATTATATGGCAATATCTGAAACACAAAAACTATTATACTTCTGGAAATGCTCTTACGTACAGGCCAACTGTGAGAAAGCTTGTTGTGTACATGTGTACATGTGTGAAGGAGTGATCTACCGAGCACTGATAATTCAATGTATTTAGTCTTTACCTTTACAATATGCATATGGCATTGTAACAAGATAGTCCTCTCCCCTTGTAATCAGAGATAATTTGGCAGTGCCGTCTAATATTGCTGCTATAGAGTTACCATAGAATTTAGATTTGGCAAGAATACTACCGCTAACACAGAAACCGTCTTTGCGGTTTGATACATGGAATGCTGATATTGGCGGGTGATGAGACACCTGTGAAAACAATCAAATCACAAAGGAAACAGGGTGAGAGCAGTAGATAATGCTATGAATGCTGTAAATAAAATAAAATTTAGTCAGTCCATAATGTTTCATATACAAGAGCTGATTTGCTACAGAACATTACATATTCACCAACGGTATCATACATGTACTCGGCCCAAAAATAGCGCCCCCTTGTAAGTTACATATTGATATGCTAATTTTGTTATATTTGTATACCGATTGTCTCTGAACTACTGGTATGTTATCAGTGATTATTTGTTCACTGCCCAACCCACCTATGGTGGGGATTAACAGATAAATGTACCCCAAACCTGTGGGGGATTAAGTGTTAAGAAGCGAGTAGTATATCGTTGGGGTGGTTATATTCTTCATGATGAAAATTGAGTCAGGATGAAACAGGTAGAATATTCATCCATTGTGGTTCTGGCTGTTAGCTATATATTTTGGGGTGCTGCAAAATACTATATTTTAGCTGGAATTAATTTTCGTTGAAAAGACTTTTTAGCTGTTTTGTATGAAGTTTATTTTCACTGATTTTTCACTGAGTTGAATGTAAAATATAGATCAAAATGTGATTTATTCTTTTAGTGAAAATTCCAGGCCAAAATTTACAGTAATTTACATAAGTA